ACGGACCTGCAGCATGCAGCATGTCAGTGGCGGGGCGCAGACCTCCAACAAAAAGAAGAAGTAATTTTATCAGAATACAAGAGTTTTTTCTTTCTGAAATCCGAATAGAAAGTGTAGAGTTTGTATTCGAACTCGAATACAACGTGTACGTGTTCTATTTGAGGAACTCTGCTATTCGAGAATTCGAGAAAAGTGGACCCGCACCGTTTCAATTTCGGAAAAGGACTGCAGCCTCCTACGTGGTCCTCGCCCTTGCAATGCCCCAAAACCTCAAAATGCCCACCCTCCGACGACCACCAACGTTGAAATTTGATTGACGTTGAACGTTGAAATGTCTCAGGGTGGGAAAACGCAACCCTGACAGGCTGCGAACTGTAATCTTTTCAAATGGTTGAGTGAGAGAAAGATATCATGCGTCCTACTAGTGAAGGGGCTAGTTGGTAGGACAGAAATAGGGCATAGCAGCAGTGGAGATGGTGGCTCTGCTGCAGTAAGTCTTGCTGGAGTGAGGCAAAGAGGACTGATGGTGGGTCCCTGAGTCGTTTTTTGAATTTTGTCTAAATTCTGAAGCTTCTCGAAAAAAGGTCTGATGTAGCTTCAAAATTCTCTGAGCCAAGCCGGGTATTGGCCCCGGTATCTTAATTTTCGAGATCCTATTCTTAGGCCAATTGGATTCTTTAGGAGGTTCTTAGTCTCATTTTCATGGAATTTTCTGATGACTTTTCTGAATGTGCTCGTTATGGGACGCTGGGCCCAGTTCCCAGTTTGTGCCAATTTGTGAGGATATTGTTGTATCTATGGGACGCTGGACCCGGTTTCCAGCAGGTGTTGCTCCCCACCAATAGATGGAGCTTTTTTGTTGGAAAAAAAAAAAAAAAAAAAAAAGGAAAGGGCGCGGCCTTGGCCGCAGGTTGAAACGACACACCTGTGACGCCCAACCTCACGCCCAGCGCAACTTCCTGATCGGAGTGAGATGGGGGCCTGGAAGTGCGAAAAGGGGGTGTGCCAAGGATTTTTGGAAAGTGGGGGTGGAGTCCCAGGTAGGAACTGAGATCTCTGGTGGCAAGTTTACGGGTGGTGGTGCAAGATGGTACGCAAAGACCGTTTCTGGGATTATCTTCTCTGCCAGTTGCGTCGCGGTGGTCGGTTCCTCATCTAGTGAACCAACGGGTCATGGTGGCCACCGCGCGGTTCGATCAGTTGTTGGCGCCGCTCGATTTCGGTTCGGGTTTGCCAGGTAATTTCCGAAGCTCGATACACCCGGTGCTGCTGACACTTTTCACACGATGTGCGGGGCCAGTAGCGGGCTATGGAATTCCACGACACCACTGTGAGCTGATGATATGGAAGGGAGGAAAGCTGGTATGGCCCAGTGGAAATCTCATGCGCACAGTCGATCGTGCTCCGTCAGACAAGGGAATTTCGGGTTTCTCAAGTTACCCCGCTGTCTGAGTTGTTCACCCTGAGCTCCAAGTATTCGCGATCCTCCGGGTTCCTCAGGCTTTTACGATCGGTGATCCAGGAGGGGGTTCTTACAACCATGTCCGATTAGTGAAC